GTTTTGCGAGGCACAGGGGACCCCGAGCAATCAGCCCAAGGTCCCGAGGTTTATTTTCCATAATCTTATATACCTTCTACAGCGCTATAGATCTCTAATGATTTACAGCATGGGCTTAGTAAGGCACATTCTTCCATGTACATAGGATTAGTCCCGCGTGTATGATAAGAATCTTTAAAGCAGGACAAGGGAACAAAGAGGGGAGTGCACAGTGTGCTATTTACAGGGCAAGGGAACCAAGAGGGGAGTGCACAGTGTGCTGTTTACAGGTGGCTTCCTATCTACAAAACATCTTCTGCTGCGTACTTTAGAACAGACCACACACGTCCCAAGGGCAATTCACTCTGATCCTTTCGGCTTATTTTTAACCCAGCAAATCGAGTTTTCTCAGAGATCTCGGAGTCTGAACGAACATGCACCAGTGGTTGTTGTGGAGGTCTGTTTCCCACAGTCCAGTGTGTCATTCACTGTTATTATTGTATCATCATCAATGTGTTTCTTTAATTTTATTATTAATTGGTTTATGTCATTGGCTGCTCCCATGTTAGGGGCACACATATTTACAATTGTTAGATCTTCTTGTTGGATAGACCCCTTTAAGTCATTATGATAGTGTCCTTCCTCATCTCTTATTACAGTCTTTGGTCTAAAATCTAATTTGTCTGGTACAAGGATTGCTACCCCAGCTTTCTTTTGATGTCCATTAGCATGATAAATGGTTTTCCACTCCCTCACTTTCAATCTGGAGGTGTCCTTGGGTCTAAAATGAGTCTCTTGCAGACAGCATATCGATGGGTCTTGCTTTTTTATCCAATCTGATACCCTGCATCTTTTGATTGGGGCATTTGGCCCATTTACATTCAGGGTAACTATTGAAAGATACGAATTTAGTGCCATTGTACTATCTGTAACGTCACTGTTTCTGTACATTGTCGCTGTTCCTTTCTGGTCTGTGTTACTTTGGGGCTCTCTCTGCGTAAAGGATCCCCTTTAATATTTCTTGCAGGGCTGGGTTAGTGATCACAAATGTTTTAGTTTCTGTTTGTCCTGGAAACTCTTTCTCTCTCCTTCAAGCTTGAATGACAGCCTTGCTGGATAAATACAGTACTCTTGGCTGCATATTTTTCTCGTTTAGCACCCTGAATATATCATGCCAGTCCTTTCTGGCCTGCCAGGTCTCTGTGGTTAGGTCTGCTGCCAGTCTAATGTTTCTACCCTTGTCGGTTAAGGACCTCTTGTGCTGAGCTGCTTTCAGGATTTTCTCTTTGTCTCTGAAATTTGCAGGCTTCACTACTCTATGTTGAGGTGTGGACCTGTTTTTATTGATGTTGAAGGGGGTTGGGGTTTCTGTGCCTCCTGGATTTGAATGCCTGTTTCCTTCCCCAGATTAGGGAGGTTCTCTGCTATAATTTCTCAAATATACCTTCTGCCACCCCCCCCTTTCCTCTTCTTCTGGGATCCCAATTATTCTACTATTGTTCCACTTTATGGTATCACTTATCTCCTGAATTCTCACCTCATGATCCAGTAGTTGTTTATCTCTCTTTTTTTCTCAGTTTCTTTATTCTCCATCATTTTTTAAATTTTTTTAAATTTTTTAAAAAGATTTTATTTATTTATTTGACAGAGAGAGACACTGCAAGAGAGGGAACACAAGCAGGGGGCATGGGAGAGGAAGAAGCAGGCTTTCCGCTGTACAGAGAGCCCGACGCGGGGCTCGATCCCAGGACCATGGGATCATGACCTGAGCCAAAAGCAGACACTTAACGACTGAGCCACCCAGGTGCCCCTATACTCCATCATTTTATTTTGTCTTCTGCATCACTACTTCTCCTTTCTGCCTCATTTATCATAGCAGAGCCTCCAATTTTTTTTTTTATTTTAAATACATAATTTTTATTAAGTATAGCTCAGTCCGTCTGGAAAAGATAAGTAAATAATGTTTTATTGGGGCGCCTGGGTGCCTCAGTCATTACGCATCTGCCTTCGGCTCAGGTCATGATCCCAGGGTCCTGGGATCGAGCCCCGCATTGGGCTCCCTGCTCTGCGGGCGCCTGCTTCTCCCTCTGCCCCTCCCCCTGCTTGTGTCCCCTCTCTCGCTGGTCTCTCTGTCAAATAAATAAAATCTTTAAAAAAATAATGTTTCATTTCACCATTACCCATATGTATATGATAAATTTTTTAAAATTTCATTTTATTTTAAAGAACATATTTATTTATTTGCCACAGAGACAGAGATAGTGAGAGAGAGAGCACAGAGAGGGAGAAGCAGACTCCCCGCTGAGCAAGGAGCCCATGGGTTCGATCCCAAGACCCTGGGATTATGACCTGAGCCGAACGCGGCCGCTTAACCAACTGAGCCACCCAGGCACTCCTGAAATTTCTCTTCAGTTAGCTGACATATGATATATCATTAGTTTCAGATGTAGTGTTCAGTTAATCATCAGTTGTATATAACACCCAGTGCTCTGCACATCACGTGCCCTCCTTCATGCCCATCCCCCCACCCACCTCCCCTCCAGCAAACCTCAGTTTGTTTCCTATAGTTAAGAGTCTCTCATGGTTTGTTTCCCTCTCTGGTTTCTTCCCATTTTAGTTTTCTCTCCCTTCCCCTACGATTCTCTGCACTTTTTCTTATATTTCACATATGTATGAAACCATATGATAATTGTCTTTCTCTGATTGACTTTTCTCTCCGCATAATACCCTCCATTTCCATCCACGTCAATGTAAATTGTAAGATTTCATCCTTTTGATGGCGTAGTAATATTCCATTGTATGTATATATACCACATCTTCTTTATCCATTCATCTGTCGATGGACATTTGGGCTGTTTCCACAGTTTGGCTATTGTGGATATTGCTGCTATAAAAATTGGTGTCCAGGTGCGCCTTCTGATCACTACATTCGCATCTTTGGGGTAAAGACCTTGTAGTACAATTACTGGGTCATTGGGTAGCTCTATTTTTAACTTCTTGAGGAACCTCCATACTGTAGAGCCTCCATTTTTTACTGCATCTCATTAATAGCCTTTTGATTTCGATTTGTTAAGCTTTTAGTTCTTTTATTTCTCCAGAAAGGCATTCTGTAGTGTCTTCTGTGCTTTTTCAAGCCCAGCTAGCATCTTTATAATTGTTATTCCAAGCTCTAATTCCAACATCCTACTTTTATCCATACTGATTAGGTCCCTGTCAGTCAGTACTGTCTCTTGTTCTCTTATTTGAGGTGAGTTTTCCCATCTAGTCATTCTGTCTAGAGAAGAATAGATGAATGAGAGAACGAAATACTAAAATAGCAACAACGACCCCAGAGAAATCTACTCTTAACAAATCAGAGGAGACCTGAAACCAAAAAAATAGATAAGAATTAAAGGCGAAAGAGAATATAATCAGACAGGTGATGAGAACAGAGCAATACAGTAGATTCTGGGTATATTTTGGTCTGTTTGTTAGAAGAAACTACACCCCAAAATTGTAAAGAAAGAAAAACTTCTGTATATGCAAAAATAAAATTAAATACAATGAAAGTATAGAATGTAATTATAAAAATGAACATTGAAAAAGTTTTAAAAAACGAGTTGATAAAATAAGAAATTGGTTGAAAAGGAAAACAAAAATTACAATTGAGAGATTGAGGAATCATGAGAAAAAGCCATGAATTCTATATAGTATTTTCCTCTAGTGCTGGAGTTTTGCATTTCTGTGTGATCGGTAAACTTGGTCTTAGCCGGATGTTCTTGCTGATTTTCTGGAGGACAGGCCTGTGGTGCTGATTCTCAGGAGTCTTTGCTCCAGCAGTACTGCACTGCCCTTGCCAGGGGGCCAGGCTAAGTCCGGGCCTCGGGATTGCTCTATGTGGCTTTTGTTCCCTGAAGGCTTTCCACACCACTTTATAGGATGAGAATGAAAATGTCAGCCTCCCAGTGTCCAGCCCGGGAGCTGAAAGCTGGCACCCTCCACTCCTCAGTGTGCCCTCATGGAGAAGCTGTCAATCACTCTCGCCTCCCTGGTTTCTGTCTGCATTCTGTGTACACCCAGCCTGTGACTGAACATTTTTATCTCAGCCATGCAACCCCCTTTGGAGTTTCCAAACTTTGCAGTCTCCTGTGGCATGCATTCGTGCCACTCCTCCTGGGAGAGGGAGGGAGGTCTTGCCCTGGTTCTGCCACTTGTATGGCCCCTGCTCTGAGAGCGGTCGCCCAACTGGCTGCAGTTTGTGGTTTATGGCAACACTGAGCTGAAAGCCCCCTCCTCAGCTCTCTGATTGCAGCCGGCTTCACTGCTCAAATGCCTGGGAACTCTCCCATACTCAGGCACCCCCATTCTTTCTGTGACCCTGGGGATCCTGAGATAAGGCCGTCCCACCTAGGATTCCACCCTGCTTCTGCACCTGAGTGCCTTTCAAGCAGGATGTCCCTCACCGGAGCAGACTTCTACAAGTTCTGATTTGCACACCACTGCTTTATCACTTTCTGATAGCTGGCTTATGGAGGCTCCCTCCCCCCCACGGTTTATCTTCCTATGGATCACCGCCGATTCGCTTCTCCACACCTCCTACCTTGTAGAAAGTGGTCGCTTTCCTATTTGTAGAATTGCAACAGTTCTTTTCTTAGATCTCAGGTTGAGTTCACAGGTCTTCAGAATGATTTGAAAGCTATCCAGCTGAATTCCAGGGACCGGACAAAACTACGGTCCTCTACTCCTCCGCCATCTTCCTCTTCTTCCAGAAAGTATGTATATTCAATAGACCAATATTAATTGTACTTTTTATCAGATTCATCTAAATAGCATTACATATGTTTCTTCTCAGTTACCTAAGATTAAAATAAGTAGGGATTTATTTTATTTATGTCATTATCTTTCTATTTCAGCAATCCCTAACTTAGTTTTAGTCTCTAAAAGTGTTATTTAAAGACCACATTTCATAAGCTATATATAGTTCCTACAATAATGTCTCTTGTTTAACTTGAACATTATAAATAATATTTGACTTATTTCAGATGGACATATCTCAGCAGGAGATGGAAAGGAATATAACTAGAGAACTAGAAGGTATGTTGCCAAATTTATGAATTAAGATGGTCATTGATTTCTGAAATAAACTATGAATAGTAAATGGCATCCCTTTCCATGGTTTGGATAATAGGTACTACATTAATTTTTTTAAATATATAGCCAATAAAAAATGTAAAGCATTAACATAATGATGAACTTACTTATTCCTCATTTAGTCATCGTGTTCATTCAGACTTTAAAAAATATCCAAATGTCTATGTATCTATTATTATTTCTGGCTATAATCTTCCTTCACTTCTGCCATTCCTATGGAACCGTCAACCTGAATATGTGGGCTTTCTCAAATTCTTGTTTCTGCTAGTGGTATAAGACCAAAAAACTCAGACTTGTCTTAGTAATAGTTAAGCAACTATAGTCCATATAGCTGTCACTTGACAGGTGATATTTAAATCTCCAGTCATTGGTTTACCTTTTGCCATTGAATAAAATTCCAAGTTCCTTATATGGAATAAAAACACCCAAGTCAATTTGGTTCTTGCCAGATTATTCAGCCTTCTCTGTCGCTACTTACCCTACTCTGTTGCTTTGCTCTAGCACCTCTTCAGCGTAGACTACTTGCAATTCCACAAGTGTTCTTCCTCACTCTTTGTATATGTTCTTTGTATATGTGTCTTCCCTCCACCTGGCCCACTTTTTCCTTGTACTTCAGGTATCAACTTACATATCACCTCCACCAAAAAGCAGGCAGTATTGATAGAAAACTAGGATGTCCCTTTTGTGTGTTCTTATAGTGTCTTGTTTTATACCTGTCATGGTATATTCAACTCTAAAATTGCCTGTTTGATTTTTCAGTTTCTAGTATATGATTGTTCAGGGGTGGGCTCTGTCATCATCTTGTAATTTCATCTTGTAATGAGAAAACTAGAAGCTCTGATATTTATCCACAATAGCAATTAACTCACTGGGCAACCATGAGCAAAATATATTTAAAAGTAATCTTGTATTTTATATTGTAGTTCTATGTAGATGTTTTTCATTCTTTTTAACACTCATAAGGCTTCAACTTTGTTTTTTACTAACTTGTAGTTAACTACAAAGTATTTTAGATAAAGAATGTAATTCTTTTTCTTTTCAGCTGCTGCTGAATTTGAATCAGACTCATGGTGTATGACCTCCTCTTTAGAATCTACTTATGAATCACATGTAAATGACGATCTACTAGTGAAATCTTCAAAAGAATATTTACAGATTTTGAAGAAAAATTATATGTTCTGAAAGACAAACATTAAAAATTTATTTACTGGATGTTTGTATAACATCTTAATTGTGTCCTACTAAACATATCGTGTGAAAATCTTGAATAAAGGAAAATAGTTCTGGATCATGTGTGTAATGAAAGTTTATATAATATTTTAAGCTATGTTTCTTGGCACCTAATTAACTTTTAAGCAGGTTTTATACATGGAGACCAGCACTGTTGGGTTTTACATGCTTCAAGCTGCCCAAATACCAGCTTTTTAAACAGCACCCAACCAACCAAATTGTCATTAGTACTTCAGGGGTGTTAATTGATAGCCTTTTAGTATTTTCCAGTTTATATTACTACATATGGACCTGGAGATTTACACAGACATCATTTTGATATATTGCTGCTAAGGCTATTGTCAATGTTTGTATGTATTACAATTTTTATAGTGCCATAAAACCTATGTATAATTTTAATTTTAAGTACTGATTCATAGCTCTTTCCTCATGGTGAAATAAGATTTGCCTAAAACTTTTCACCTTTTCTGTTTATTTTTGATTTACTTTTTGAAGACAGTCTTAAAATTAGAGAAAAGAAAAATTAGAGAAAGAGAAAAGAACGTTTTCCCCCAGAACCATTTGCAAGTAAATTGTTAGATTATGCCTGATTGCCATAGCATTTATATCCTACAAATCAGTACATTCCACATGACTACTGTACAACCCTGACAAGTGACAAAACTTAAAAATATGACCCTGACAATCAGACAATTAGCTCTAATACAATTAACCCTTGAATAATGTGGGGGTTAGGGGCACTGACCCATTGCAGTCAGAAATACGTGAATAACTTTTGACTCCCCAACTTTTGACTTTACTAATAATCTGCTGTTGACCAGAAAACTTACTGGTACCAGAACAGTCAATGAAACTGTGTTTTGTGTGTTATATGTATTCCATATTATATTCTTCCAATAAAGTAAGCTAGAGAAAAGAAAATGTTATTTAAATCATAAGAGAAAATACATTTACAGTACTATCATGTATTTATTGAAAGCATCTGCATATAAGTGCACCCATTCAAACCATGTCAACTATACATTCTATCATTTTTTTTTTAAAGATTTTATTTATTTGACAGTGAGAGCACAAGTAGGCAGAGCGGCAGGCAGAGGGAGAGGGAGAAGCAGGCTCCCCACTGAGCAGAGAGCCCGACATGGGGCTCGATCCCAGGACCCTGGAATCATGACCTGAGCTGAAGGCAGACGCTTAACCAACTGAGCCACCCAGGCACCCTGTACATTCTATCATTTAATCCTCATATTTCTAAGTTTTGTCACTTGTCTGTAATATCCTATACGCAAGGAAGGTCCTGTTCAGAGCCATGTATTTAATTCAGATGTTGTGTCTCTTAGTTCCTTCAGTTTAGAATCGTTCCTTAGTCTTTCCTTAATTTTCACAACTTTTAATCTTTTAAACAGTTAATTCCAGTAATGTAGAATGTCTTTCAATGTGGGTTTTTCTTATGTCTCCTTATGATAAAATTCAGATCAGGGACGCCTGGGTGGCTCAGTTGGTTAAGCAACTGCCTTCGGCTCAGGTCATGATCCTGGTGTCCTGGGATCAAGTCCTGCATCAGGCTCCCTGCTCAGTGGGAAACCTGCTTCTCCCTCTGCCTGCCGCTCCCCCTGCTTGTGTTTTCTCTCTCTCTCTGACAAATTACAAAAAAGAAAAAAACAACACCAAGAAAAAAACAACTTTAAAAAAGTTCAGATCAGGGGAGCCTGGGTGGCTCAGATGGTTAAGCATCTGCCTTCGGCTCAGGTCATGATCCCAGGGTCCTGATATCGAGTCCCACATCGGGCTCCCTGCTCCTTGGGAGCCTGCTTCTCCCCCTCCTCCTCTGTCTCTCATGAATAAATAAATAAAATCTTTTTAAAAAAATCATTTCATACATTTTTAGCAAGAGTATGAAGTGGTCCTCTACTCTTCTCATTGCATCCTATCATGAGACCTACAATTTTGATTTGTCCCATTGTTGGTCATGTTAGCATTGATCCTGGAGGTAATATCTGCCAGGTTTCTCCTCTGGAATGTTAACTTTCCACTTTATAATTAATTAGTATTTTGGGGGAAGTACTTTGAGACATGTAAATATCTCCTTTCTCAGACACCCTGTGCCAGGCCACGTCTTCTGCAGATGATTGACTGCCCCCACAGGCTCTGAAAACCCATGCTGGGCTGTTCTTTCCCTTCAGTCTGCAATAGCACATTCTATGTTGTTGTCCTTTCAGGGGTGTTCCAACACTGTGCAGGGTGGCTCTCCCACTTTTATGCCTTCCCCATTCTATCCAGGCTCCAACACCTCACTCAGGGCCACCACAGATCCCTGTTTCTGTTTCTATGCTTTTGAACTGAAAATGTGGAAATAGAAAGAATAAAGGGGGAAAGGCTCCATAGGTCTTTTATAATCAACTTGTCAAGCTTTACAAAGCAATGATTCTGATTAGAATTGCATTGAATCTATAGATAGTTTATAGGGAAAAGACATAATACTGAGTTTTCCTAACAGTATTTTAATTGATTAACTCTCAATGTTTAAAAAATTTCTTATAAAGGTCCTGCAGATATTTTTTAGATTTATTCCCAGTTATTTAATATTTTGACCCCATTATAAATGTTATTTTAAAAAATCAATTTCATTTCCTGTTTGTTGCTAGCTTATAGAAATAAAATTACTTTGCATATTGAGCTTAGATTCACCTATCTTGCTAAACTGTCTTATTTTATTGTTTCCCACAATTCTGGAGGCTGGGAAGTCCAAAATCAAGGCACTGGCAGATTCAGTGTCCAGTGAGGGCCGGCTTCCTGGTTCATGGATGCTGGTCTTCCTCTGTTTCCTCATAAGGCACAGGGCCACGGGAGCTCTCTCAGGTATCCTTTATTTATAAGGGCACTAATCCCATTCATGAGGGCTCCACCTTCATGACTTAATCACTTCCCAAAGCCCCCACCTCCAAATATTATTACATTGAACATTAAGACCTAATACATGAATTTGGGAGTGGGGGGAACAAATATTCAGTCTATAGCAAGGCTGTTCCTTGTTCCTGGCCATGTAAGCCTCCACAATATGGCTGCTTGCTTCATGAGGCCAACAAGGAGAATTTCACTGCAGAGAGGCCTCAGTCCTCTTTTAAGGGCTTCACCTGCTTAAATCAGGCTTACACAGAATAATCCCCTTCTGATTAACTCAAAATTAACAATTGTATCTGCAAAATTCCGTTACATTTGCCATTTTCTAATGGCTAGAGTCAAGTCACAGATCTTGGCTACACTTAAGGGAAAAGGATTATAAAAGCTGAGAACACCACAGGGCATTTATTATGGGGTCACCTAGGGTCTTTCTGTTACAAATATATTAACAAAGTTCCCTTATACTACTAGTTTTCTAAGTTTTATCATGAATGTTGAAAGATAATAGATGTTTGTTTTGCATATATTGAGATAATTTTTTAAAAATTTGTCAATGTGGTGAATTACATTATGTGCTCATGTGAAACCAGCCTTGCGTTTCTTAGGTAAACTGAATTTAGTTGTGATTTCATTCGTCTGTTGCATACATTGCCACTCTTGATATGATGATATCTTGGTGAGGGTTTTCTTCTCTCTGTTCATGGATAATGATAATGCAAGGAGTTTTGAATACTTTTAACTCAATTTGCATGGCTCCAAACTAATGTGTATTGTTGCTTTGTGTTTTAATTCTCTCTTGTATCTTTAAAAAATACTCGACATTTTTATAGCTTTTATATGATACTGTCAGCGTCCATTTAAACTGAACTACATATTTATTTTTTTTCCCTGTCCTCTTGCATCTCAGAATTTCTATTTGGGATTATTTTTCTTCCATTTGTTTATGTACATTCTTTAAAATTTTCATGAGTGAGAACTGCCAGGTAATGAATCTCTGTTTAAAATGTCTTTATTGGGCTCCTGGGTGGCTCAGTTGATTAAGTGTCTGCCTTTGGCTCAGGTCAGGATCCCAGGGTCCTGGGATTGAGCCCCACTTCAGGCTCACTGCTCAGCATGGAGTCTGCTTCTCCCTCTCTCCCTGCCCCTCCACCCACTTGTTCTCCCTCTCTCGCTCCTTCTCTCTCACTCTCTTCCAAATAAATAAAATCTTTAAAAAATAAATAACAATGTCTTTATTTCCTCTTACTCTTGATATACATTTTCACAGCATAGAGAATCCTAGGTGAATAGTTATTTTCTTTGATCCTACAGAAAATGTCATTCCACTGCCCTTTGTCTTTCATAATTGCTCTTTAGAAAATAGCTGTTTGCCTGTTTCTCCTTTGAACATAATCTGTTCCCCACTCTGCTCCTTTTCCCCACAGTTTTTGGTGGCTTTAAAGATTTTACTCTTGGGGGGGAGAAAAGAATTCTTTTTCTTTGTGTGTTTACTGCAGTTACGCTATTATGGGTCTAGATTTGGATGTCTTGCTATTTATCTTAATATTCATAATGTTCCATAATGAGAATTCCATTTACAAGAGCTCCAAAAACCATAATATACCTAGGCATAAACCTAACCAAACAGGTAAAGGATCTATACTCTAGAAACTACAGAACACTTATGAAAGAAATTGAGGAAGACACAAAGAGATGGAAAAACATTCCATGCTCATGGATTGGAAAGATAAATATCGTTAAAATGTCTATGCTACCCAGAGCAATTTAAACTTTCAATGCAATCCCTTTCTAAATACCATTGACATTTTTCACAGAGCTGGAACAAATAATCCTAAAATTGCTATGGAACAGAAAAGACCCCGAATTGCCAGGGGAATGTTCAAAAAGAAAACCAAAGCTGGAGGTATCACAATGCCTGACTTCAAGCTATATAACAAAGCTGTAGTTAAGACAGTATGGTATTGGCACAAAAACAGACACATAGATCAATGGAACAGAGTAGAGACCCCAGAAATGGACTCTCACCTCTACGGTCAACTAATCGTCGACAAAGCAGGAAAGAACATCGAATGGGAAAAAAAAGACAGTCTCTTCAATAAATGGGGCTGGGAAAACTCGACAACCACATGCAGAAGAATGAAACCAGACCATCC